AAGAACACCTCTCTTTTGTACTGTTTGGATATTTATGGATAGGGAACTCTACTTTACTCAAACTATACTTTTAGCATGGGCTACAATAGAAAGACATATTCTAATCTTGTATGATAAGTGGGTATCAACAAAAAAGAAACGTTTATTAGTACATTATCTTCCTCTTATTGTGCTTGTTCTCTATTGTCTCATCTATTATATTTCTATCATATTTTTTCCATCTTGTGAAACTACATTCGATTATAATTACATGCTTTGTGCTGATCTTTGTTTTTCTAACTCTTTCGCACTTTACGCATACGATACAATCGTTCATCAAATTTTACCGAATATAATTATTGTTGGATTCAGTATTGGTTTATTTATACGTATCTGTTGGCAAAAGCGTCATGCAGGTCAATCATTAACATGGCGAAAACACTGGAAAATGGCACTTCAATTGTTGTTTGTCTCAGCCAATTATCTTATATTTGGTTTACCATTAACACTAATGAGTGTTTTCTACCTTTGTGCTGTACCACTTTATGTGACCGCTAAATTTACACAATATGCATCATTTTTGTATTATTCTGCAATGCTTTTTTCCCCTATTATTGCTGCGTTAGTATTACCTCAGCTGAAAAACAAAAGGAAGAACATCCTACGATTGAGACATCGGACACGAGCTGTTGTACCGATAACATAGACATAAATAAATACAATATTTAATTAAATATTCACTTTGATCAATATCGTTTCGTGATTATTCTTGTATAGTACTACTGTAATGAACTTTAAATTAAATTATTTGTAGACAAATACTCAATGAAATTTTTCCATATAGTGAATGAGTTAAAACTAATCACAGTTAAAACAAAGATTGCATTCGAGTTTCATTCTCCTGAAAAATGTAGTACAAAGACTTCCATCTGGATTGTTAAAAAGAAAAGGATGTCTCATAAGAAAGAAATAATCGTTTCTACGATTAGTCGCATAAGGTAGTTCTGCACGAAATAGTTAATGTGTATGGCAACCAGTTTCTTTCCTGTCGCTTTTTTTTTGAAACTTCAATTATTCACGTTTCGACCTATTCTTTGATGAAACGTGTAAAAGTTATTTAAAGACAGATATGACAAAATTCATTACTACAAGGATTACAGCAATATATATCAGCATCTGTTAGGGCTACAAAGCCGCAGTGATTGCAAAATAAAAAAAAATAAAAAAATATATATCAGCATGGTTCCGCAGGATGTTGACGATTTATCATTTAGTTATACATTTAATCCATTATCTATGATCAGCTATCCATAGAGCTTTGGTGAATAAAATCAGGTTTTCGACTAGACTGGTGCCTACTTTGTATGCTACATCCATTTTAACTTTCAAGAAATGCAAAAAGGAACAAAGTTGTTTGTCGTTTTTGTGAGTCTTTTTAAAAGGAAACGAAACGTTCTACCGAAAACTAAACAATAGACAGTATCAGCTCGATGAATAAATATGTGTTTTTCTTCTGATTACTTTATCACATGATACCGAATCGTTTTGTGAAATACGATCCAGAAGAAGTATCGATGTATACAAAGTAGAAATTAGGCACGCTCCCACAGACATCTTTCCCCGAAGGCCATGACAGACATCCTAAGACGAGAACGCATAGCTGACTGTGACAGACTGTAGCCGAAGACCGTCACAGAAGATGACATAAGTTGTTGATACATGATCGCAGGCCGTATATTAATAACTACTTCCTTATTGTATTTCTGGAGAATTAAATAAAAGGAGGGTGAGAAAATGTATCCCAAGATATATAGAGTAAAACAATCTCCCTATGATTCGTGGCGGCAGCTGCATTTCGTTTCACAGTATAATCCTCCAAGAACTCCACTAGCAGGTGTTTTCTTTAGAATGATATTTAACTTCAAAGCATATGGTCATATCTTTATAGATGATTTTTTCACAAGACACTTTTTTTGAAAAGATTCTGTTGTTCACTTCCAAAGCTGTTTTTTTTCTGTCTTCTATTTACAGTTCGTTAGCTTGAACAGTTCTCAATTGGTTTCATCAATTTCAATGTGGTAATATCAGTATTGAAGATAGTGGCCATTCAGGTCGTCCTCTAAAGAGACAATTGATTAATTATTTTCATTTAAAAGGTATTGTATTATTTGAAGTCAAATTTATAATGAGTGGAAATGCTTTTTTACAAGAGAGCTTCAGTACAAGAATAGAACAAAAGCATGCATTAGTGGAAATCACGGATGTTCACATGATGATATTTTTATACTCTGACTTGTTCTACTCTGTTCAATTCAACGAAACAGGGCAGGGTTCTCTGCAAGATCAATACACTGTTTTGATTGTATTTTTTCAATCAAATTCAAAAGCAATAGCGTTTACATATTTTGAAAATGCACATTCAGTGCTCCGATGCATTTTTTCAAACGATTATTTTCAAGATGAAATTTTGAGTTTTTTTCCAATAACAACTGCTTTACTTGTTCAGGAATACAAGATTTTGAAGAAATTACATTTGATTGTTTTCTTATCATTCAATTATCATTACATGCGAACTTTTAATAAAGAATTTTGTTTCCTATTGAAGAAAATAAAAGATAAGTCTTGCACTATGAAACACAATGTTAGTTACATACTGTCATCTGATGGAAAGTTTCGGTTCAATACTTATCAAATGATAAATGACTTGTAAAAGCAAGAAAAAATTCATTTTGCTTAGCAAATTTAGAAAAAGAAAAGAAATCATCAAAAATCAGTTAAATCTTATAAACAGTTCTTAACAGGCAGCATTCACTGTAGTTTTGTATCTGTCAATCAAATATGAACGGTAGAGAAAAGTGAGAGTGATTCGTACGTTAACATTTTTCTTGGACTTCTATAACATGATTTATGTCTACCTAGAAACAATGAACAACATAACTACAGACTTTAGCACAGTACCAGTATATATAATTATGTAAGCATTGTACTTAGGCATGTACCGAGCTTTTTTTCATTACTTTCGAACACTTTTATATTAACATCTTGAGCTCTGAAATGAAAGACCGAATCATGAGGTCCAACCTATCAAAAGATAGACCAAACATCGTTCTACAAAATGAGACATATCTAAGCTCTGTGCAATAATGCCTTCGTTTTTTATTAGAATTTTACAAACCGAGCCCGACCGAGCCTAGGCTCGGGGCTCGGGCTCGGTCAGGCTCGGTCGGGGTCTGTTTGTAAAATTCCTATAAAAACTGAAGACGTTGTTGCACAGGGCTTGGGTATGTCTCATTTTGTAGAGCGATGTTTGGTCTATCTTTTGATAAGTTAGGCCTCATGATTCAGCTTTTCACTTAAGAGCTGAAGGTTTTGAACTAAAAGTGTTTGAAAGTAACGAAA